GCTGGAAGGCTGAGCCCTCCTGCCAGCAGGAAGTGGGCAGGAGCTGCTGCGAGGTTACACAGCCTGGCTTTTGACAGAGCCTTTGTGGCTAGTGCTGCATGGCTCCAGGGAAGTGACTATACGCCACTGACCTCTACTAGGAAGCCGTGGCAGGCCCACTAATGCTGGGATTATCTTTAATAATTGTTTGGAGAGTAAGTAGCAAGGCTACTTTTCAGGCATTTCACAGAGCAGATTTTCAGGGACGTGAGGCAGATCACAGCCTCTTTGTCTTGCACCAGGGCATGCCCCTGCCCTCCACCACACACACAAAGTCTCACTGGGTCAGATAACATGATTTCTGTTCCACTGGGAGAGAAGACCTGTTGCAAAAATGTTTTCTCAAAGTGGAAATTTGTATACAGGTACGTGGATTTTTTTTTTCTTTACATTATGAAAGAAAAGAGAAGTAAGTGTTATTCTCTAGATGGGGTGCTAACAAGTCACGACAAACCACAGCTGCAAACATGTTTATCGCTGACAGAGGACTGCTGGAAAAAGGTGTGTGGCACACCACTCTTACCACCACGCTACGTGTGGCTGTGGTTTGTGCCACACAAACTCACCCTTCCCTCCAAATTTTTCCACATGGGCACAGAATGGGTTCTGGGTACTTTGGAAAGTTGGAGGCGAGCCCAGGGGAGCGGAGCATGCTGAGAGAAGGACAGAGTCAGGTGGACAGGCTGCAGATAGAAGCACTAAATGGAAGAAAGCGATACTAGTCCTTGTCTTTGGATAGGTTTTGGGACAGTGCACCTGGCCCCTGTCACCTTAGCAATTAATCACAGTCACAGAAGAGCCCAGGTTGGAAGGAACCTCAGAAGATTATCGGGTCCAACCTTTTCTTAGAAAAGGGAACCTAGATGAGATTCACCCTATCCAACCCCATCTTGACAATCTCCAGTGATGGGGACCCTACCACGTCTCCCTGGGGTGGTTGTTTGTTGTTCTCTGTATAAAGAATTTCTTTCCTTTATCAAGACAAAACCTCTCCAGCAAAGTAAAATGTTCACAATATTGTTTATATTCTGCACAACAATGCTTCACAGGTATCAAGCAAAGCCCTTTTGGGTGAGATGAAGCTGAGGAGAGTATAGCAGCTGATGAGCAGCTATGTGCCTCAAGAACACCATATTACCATTTCTCCCATGTTTTGGGAAACTTGGTTAAACATTACTCAGCCCGTAGTTCTTTATTGATTTGCTAGACAGATCAGTTATTTCTGCTCCTTGTAAATGGCCTTTGCTTGTATAGGTTGGTGAGTGCTTTGCCCTCTCCTTCTGCCACCTGACTGATTACATGTACCTCACTCAGTCCTGCAGAAGCGTGGAAGGGAGTGACCATGAAGAGATGCCTCTGAGAAACAGCCACGGACAGGCTCAGAGCTCAACCACCCAGATGTCTGCTGGTAAATCTACCCAGCAGGCTGTGAGCAATCCAGGAGATTCCTAGAGGACATTGAGGAAAAGTTCCTGGTCCAGGTATTAGGCAAACCAACCAGAGGAGAAGTGTTACTGGTGCTCACCAGTGTGGAAGAGCTCATCAAGGAGGTGAAGATTGGAGGCAGCCTGGGCTGCAGTGACCACCCCTGGTTGAGGCCCTCATTAGGCCCTACCTGGAGCTCCGCGTCCAAGTCTGGGGCCCCCAGCACTAGAAGGGTGTGGGGCTGTTGGAGCGGGTCCAGAGGAGGGCCACGAAGTTGATCAGAGGGCTGGAGCACCTCTCCTGCAAAGAAAGGCTGAGGGAGCTTGGGATGTTTAAACCTACAGAAGAGAAGGCTCTGGGGTGATCTCACTGTGACTTTCCAGTACTTGAAGGGGGCTTAAAAACAAGATGGAGAGCAACTCTTTGCTCAATCCAGTAATGACAGGATGAGGAGGAATGGTTTTAAACTAAAAGAGGGGAGATTGAGACTAAAGGTTAGGAGGAAATTCTTCACTCAGAGGATGGTGAGGAACTGGAACAGGTTGCTCAGACAGGTTGTGGGTGCCCCATCCCTGGAGGTGTCCAAGGCCAGGTTAGATGAGGCCCTGGGCAACCTGATCTAGTGGGTGGCATCCCTGCCTATGGGGCTGGAACTAGATGGTCTTTAAGGTCCCTTCCAACCTGAGCCATTCTGTGATTGTTTCTATAATTGAAAACATGGAAAACAGTGATGTGAGAGAAAACTGGCCTAGTGCTTTTCCTGCTCTGCCTCCTCCTGATTCTTCAGGCCCTGCAAAGCAGTTCGGGAGTACCAGGCTTCACACACCATTTATTTCTGCAAAGACCTAACCTTGAGCTGGCCTTGGGAGCTGCCACTCTGTTCAGCCTGTATTTGACAGGACTCAAAACAGTTTCCAGTTCTGGAAAACTCCCCCTCCTACTCCTTGGCCCCAAACCAGGTTTCTATATCAAGGAGCTTAGCTAGTTCCACTTCATAGTCTTTATATCTATTAAATACTGAGTGATAAATAATACTGAGCACTGACACATCCAAATTGTGCTCTTGGGCACCTGTCAAACAAATGCATTGCATGAAGGAGGAAATAAACAGTTCATATTCACTTAACTCCTTGAGGGCCCAGGGCAAATGCCTGGAAGCTAGTGGGAAAAGATGGATTAATGAAAACCTGTAGCAACAGGAAGATGTAAAGGGAAGAAGGGTGACTTGTTATTCATGTTTGATGCCCTGATTTTTCCTACATAACCAAGCTTAAACCCAGCATTTACACTCCTACTCTCGCTGTGTTTCCCACTTGTGAAGTTGGAACAGCTCACACCACTTCATCTTTCCTGATAAGGTGAAGGGAGAGCAAGCAAGGATAAATTTAACTAGGGACGCTGTGGTGTGCTAGGAGACATGAATACTATGGGATGGGAAGATACTATCTGTCCAGGCTGCCTTCTTATAATGCAACTGACTTCAAGAAAATTAGATCGCTACTGGTGACAAAAAGACAAGACCTAGCTAGATCCTGCATCCCCCAATGCAGAGAGCTGGAATGATGCTTGCTCTTCTCTAAGGTAAGCAGGACCTGCTGGGACAAAACAGGAGACTGCAAGTGACAGAAGACATGACAAATCACTAAGTATAATTACTCCTTTGCTTCTTGAAGATGCTCAGAAAAAAATTAACAGTTCCTGGAGAAGCATCTGACTTACACTTGGGATTTGTAGAACTCAAACTAGGGCTGAATTCTTTAGAGGAAAAAAAAAAAAACAAAAACAAGGAAGGACACAAACAAAATGCAGTGTTGTAACAGCAGCATCTCACAGCTACAGAGTTGAACATGGCAGGACACTGAAACCATCTGGTTTTAAATGGATTCTTGTGCAGTTGAGCTCACGCTCATTCAAGACCTCTCCCCTGCTGTGCCAAAACTGCAGCTATGCTGGGACATGGGGTGCCTGCTAAAAAACCTTGCCATAAGGGAGACTGCAGAACCTTCAGCCTCAATGAAAAACAAGGCACAAACAGAAGAGTGCTTTAAAATGGCTGGTAATTCTCCATATAGACTTACTGCCCTCCTATGGCTGCCAGAGAGCTGTACTGCAGACACAGAGACCAGGGACTGACGGAAACAGGCAACAAAAATAATTATATATTCAAATAATAATAAAAAAAATAAGGGGAAACTCACATGAACTGGTTAACTGAAGTGCCTAGGAAGGCAAAAACAAAGCAAAGCAATGTATTGGTTTGGGAGTATGAGGGAGACCACCATATATTTTGTTTGACAAGGACAGGGAGCCTTGAACTATTCTTCACCAGGGTTCAGACAGCAATTGTCAGTAAGCCAAAGAGAGATGGCCTAACAATCTGATGGCCCCGTGGAGATTTCATTAGCGACTGGTGCAGAGAAGGTGTAGACTAACAGACCACTGCTCTTTTTCCTGACTGGGGTAGGAGCGTGTTGTGACCTTGCTGTACCCACTAACCCTTGCTGACCCAGTTTCAGCAATTTTTATACACTGCTTTTGCTGAGACACCTCACATTGTGATACATCCTTCTCTCTCTGTGAACCAGAGGGAGATGATCTTTCTAGCACAGACTGGCTTCTCACTGAGGTAATTTCTGAAGTTAGGTTTTGCAAATGAGACCGAGTATCTGATGAGCGTTGCTGTGGGAGCACAGCATGATTCTGAAAGGTGTCTTACTTCTTGTAGTTTCTTTATGACTGCACTGCTTCTTGTGCATTGTTTTTGATGCACTGTAGACACCTTCAACTAAACAACCCCACAATAACAACTGAAACCAAAAGCAACAACAAAGCAGCAAGAGGAAACAACAATTAAGCACAAGCAGAAGCTACATGGTCAGAAGGTGACAACAGCAAATTGATTGCATTGCACAGGCTTTTAACAGAGACGCTACAAGCTGGAAGAAGGCTGCGTATCTCCCAGCAATGATAAGCTTAGGTTTGCATTAGGCAGGCTTACCACTGCATTTTTGTTCCTTGACATAACCTCAATCTTACATGTTAGGGACTGTTGCTATGCCCAAGCCACTTTTCAGACTAGATGCAATGAAACACTCATTTTAGACTGGAGAGGAGATGTGACAGGGATCACGTAGAAAAATGCCAACACATGGCACCTCCCACAGGGCTTTGAGCTACTGAGTGACGAGGTGGGTGTCATCCTAAGCCTACCTGACCTGACAGCTGTACTTTTTCAGAGCCATATCGAGTATTTAGGATTTCTCCAAGGTCAAAGAGATTGCAGGTTAGCAGAGCATGCAGCAAGGTGAAAGCAATGACTGAACAGAACAGACAAACAACTTTGCTATGCACACACACGCACGCGCAGAATCAAGTTGTCAAGTTGCGAGATCACTGTGCCAATTTCTTGTGTAGCAGCCACTAAGCTCCTGTTCCTCCTTTCTGAAGGGTGCAAGTAAATTCTGTGCCATGCTGTGCAATGTTAGTATCACAAATAAAACTTCACTTTCATACACAAATGAAAATGACCAATGAGATGAGAAGTCACTCAATATTATTTTAAAACTTATGTGCGTATACACACATTCACACGCACAAGGTGCATCAAGGTGAATATATATACACACTAGTAGTAAATACATAAGTTTTTTTACACAATTCAACCACTCCAGTTTTTATACAATATACTCCTACCACTTACCAGGACAACATATTTTGTTGCACTGACAATACACTGCTCAGTTACCTCGTAAAGTTTTTTTTGGTTTTTTTTATAAGTTATGCAGAATTTGATCAGTAAGAGGCCAATCCTTTGGCAAACAAATCTACAAAAAACTCAAGGATCTTTAATAATCCTTCAGTAATTAAAAGATCCCTCCCCGCCCCCATTCCCTTCACATATCAACTCTATGTGCATAAAAATAAATCATTTTAAACAATATGCTACAACCCTGTTAAGCTAAGCAGGACATTTCTTCTAGTACATATAAATATTTAACATCCTCTCTAAACCATGCAGTCTAAAAAATAAAATCATGATTGCAAGTGATTGTACTATGATTTGGCAACATAAAGAACACAACTTTCCCATAACCCTTAAAAAAAACAGCAGATAGCTCTAGTAGTTCACATTTTTAAAAAAATACCTATCAGTAATAATTAACTCTGCCTACAGTTTAAGTCCAAACATTACAAATTTAATAAGAAAACTAAAAGAGCAAAAATTACTTGTCCAAACAGAGACACCTACAACTCATAAAAACTTTTTTTTTAATTTGTTTGAGGCACCTACATGAAGTCCTTGTTAAATATCAAAGTAGTGGTTTTTCCAATAGACTTGTTCAAGCTAATCTATCTTAAAAAGGCATAGTTCAAAGTGTTATCTAAAAAGTAGCTTCAGACATGAAGTTCTCCATCTCCCAATGACACTGCATTGTTCACAAAACACTATGTAATGTTGTATTTTGAAACACTGATACTGATCAGCTGTCTAAGAAAACAGAGCTAGTTTGTCTATTATACACACCTTAGAAGAAAAAAAAATACAAAGTTTGTCTACTTCTAAGAAACTGACATAAAAAGAAATGAAACACCTTTAAAATGTGTAAGAGAAGTGTGATTAAATACATCTGACAGCAAGGTCAAGTCAGATTTTTTGTTTGTTTTTACTGACAAGTGTGATTTTTTTTGTTGTTATGAAGTCACTTAATGCTGTGTAAATATTCCCAGCATTAATGATGCCTTCTGGAATGTAACAGCAGATTAAAGTTTGCTCCCCCATATTTTGATACAAATTATGACAATATTTTCAAAAGAGTTCCTTTTACATTAAATAACTATTTTAAAATTCGTAGTAAAAACTCTTCAAACAATAGTACCAAAAATTAAGTAAGCCAATCCTCAATCAGTGTAAGAGGACCTCTTCATAAACAGAAGGTAAATTCTCCTCTGGAGCAGTTATAGCAATGCACAGAAATGAGACCAAGCTTACACATGAGAAGTTACAGGTCAACCGATTTACTGGAGTTGTGCAGTAATTTCCACCTTATGGCTACTTGGGGATTGTTGTATGGATCCAGGAAAAGATTTTTGAGAAGCTGAAAGTGCTGTGAGGAGACAGTGCTGTCTTCCCATGGCGAGGATCTGATCCGCTAGAACAGTCAACCCTGCCTTCAGCTGCTAGCTGCAGCGGTGGATGCACTCAGGAACAAGCCTGATGTTCAGATGTCCTACCAGTGACATGCTGCCTAGATCCACCATGGCTACGTCTTACTAGGATCAGAATAAACAGACATTAGGAGCAATTTCAATAGAAATTGTACAAACAGAGGCCAGCTTATGTAGTTCAGCCTTAGGCATCTGCCTAATGCTCACAACTAGGTGTAGCAGTACTCTGTTCTCTGCATACTGACTGCTCTGCTTTTCTAATTGCAAGTACGACTGACTTTCATTTCATGTTTGCACAACACTTCAAAAGTGAGAAGTGTTAACAATTTTAGAGTACAGTTAAACTTGTCTGCAATTCCGTGGCTAAAATGCCTGAGTTTCTGGAAGCACAGATCAGACTCTTCATCCCTCCAGCGCCCCACACTACATACAGGCTTCCTTGCTCACAGGAGCCTGCATGCACATTAAAGAACAAACAAGTTATTTAACTCTGACCTCAGCAGTGAGCTAGGCTTTTCACTGGAGTTCAAGCATTAGAAGTCCTGTGAAAAATCTCAGCTTAACATGTAACTAGGATTTTAGTATGCATCATGTCACAGTTATTGCCTTCTTTACAAATACATGGCACTAGGTGTAAAATGTTATGACTTATTCCAAACAGTGTACCGTACTTCACAGAAAAGCTTTAAAAAGAATCCTCCAACTCCCTCTTCTTCTAAATATACAGCTGGTGGGAGGCCAGGGTGTCCATGAATGGTCGCACAAGGTTGTCTGTCGAGAAGTAAAAGATCAAGCCAAAGGTGATGGAGATGGGAAGAGCAGGCAATGCTTTCTTAAAAACAGCCAGTAATAAAAGAGTTAAACATAAACCCTGCCAGAGAGAATAAAAAAACAAAGAAATAAAGTAAGAAGCCCAAAAACATAGGTCATCAATAACCTAATATATGAATAATAAGCTCTATACACTATACAGAAATTGAAGCCTGCCTGAGCTACAGTGGAATGAGACATTTTTCCCACACCTTCATCTTTCTCACAAGTTGGCCAGATATTTTCTTCAGCAACCTGGAGCAGAGCTGCTTGCTGAGAAAGTAGTGTAAAACAGCTAATGCTGACATACAACTGACCCTGAGAGGTTAATTTATTTTCAGATTGTTTTGTGTTTTGTACTATTCCATTATGTATTTGTTACTGATCTAGCAGATAAAACTATTTACATCCTATTGAACTGCATAGATAAGGAGTTTCATTGGAGGGCTCTAATGCACAGTGGCATGTACTTCTTATACCTGCACAGGTTTCAAGGTCTCTTGGGGAAAAAAAAGAACAAAAAAATATCCCACTGCTGTGTTTTTGACTAGATTGCTTATTACGCTAGGTGAATTCTGTTCTTTATCTTGACAGCAGGCCAAGATCCATCTTTTGGAACATGTCAAAGTTTTTGTAGGTTTTGGATATACAGTACAACTATGTATATTTAAGTATGGATTAATTCTCTTATCTGAGCCCTTTTTTCTCCCTCCACGATGAGGGAACATCTGAGACAGTGCTCACACTGGGCTCCAAAAAACATCTATTAGCTACAGATCAGCAGTCAGGATCTTTTTAAAGTCAGTATTTCTAGACTGCAAGGTTGATTGTGATCCAGCTGAGCCTGTGGCTGTGCTCTTTACACGACTCATGGACAGTATCTGGCCTACACCTACTCCATAGTTTACATCTACATTTAGAGATGTGCTCACGGCAAAGAAACTGCAGAGACCATTTTGGGAAACAGAAAGCTACATATCAACAGAAATATAAAACTGCAAAATGAAGCCAGAACGAATTTAACAGCACTGTAAAAGACAGAATGGGGTATATGGTCTGATGGACAGAAAAGAGAACTTTCCCCACAAAGGGACCCTGTGAATGGCCACCAGTCACCAGAATATGGAGCTAAGTGATCCTATAGGTGTCTCTGACCTGTGAGGTAGGAAAGGTAATCAAATTTTTAAAATGCGATAATTTCTAGTTCTTGTGCTTTCTAATCCATGGTTTTCACAAGTGATAGTCACTGTAAGTCTCTCCCCTTGGGATCCAAGCAGAGAAATGGAAGCCCAAGAATGACGTTGCAATTCCTTTTACCTTCTAAAACTCCTGCCATTGCTCTCCTGGTTCATTTTCAGTGAAGATACTGGTGTAAACAGCTAGTTCTTAGTAAGAACCCTACCTTTTTACCTTAAGCAGGTACAGTATGCTAGTCACCTGCTTTTACTGATAATTTTCATGGATTTTTACGTCTCTTTCCATTCTGTTTTCCCAGCTCAAACACAAGAATGAGATAGGCCTTCATCCCCTTATGCCACAGTTCTCCTTAGCAAAAGGGAGTTCGCCTTTTTGACTATGCTTGCTAATCATGTGGAGGTCATGTCCTTATAGGCCAAGCACCATGCTAGAAAATCCACTGGTGCTCTCACCCAAATACCCAGGATGTTACCTGCAGTGATGTAGCAGTGCTCAGCTGTTGGTAATTCTGGCAACACTGCTGAGCTAAACAAGACTGTAAGGTGTAAGAATTTGGTTACTTACTATAAGAATGGCTACAAAGCAGGCTAGTGTAGTATTCCAGTCTCCGCTAGGTGTGGCAGCCGCTTTCCCAACAAGAACACTGTAAAATATGAAGTCTCCAAGGCCCAGCTTCACACCCCCTGTGAGAAGTAGAAGAGAAAAAAATGAAAATAGGTGTTACTTCTCCAGTTTTGCTTCCTCCTGAACATTTTTTTTTCCTGAGGACCAGCTGAAGGTTGCTAGTCCTGGCTACCCACCAACCCGGACCCTTAGCATCCTGCACTGAGGTAACAGGGATTACCTCCACAGCTTACTGAGGGGGTCAGGACTTCCAGACACCCTCTTCTGCAGTTATTTTTACTCAACTTCATTCTCTGAGGTGCTTCCCTGTGCTGCCTTACAGCTGTCACAGCTGAAGGACAGAAGAGGAGTGGGATGCAAGGGGAAGAAGGAACTGCTTAAGTTGTCTACGTAGCCAAGGTATATCACTGGAGCTACAATCCCAGAACAGATACTGCACCAGTAAGAAGTAATACACAGTCCGAGTCAAAACCTTTGTTGCCCAACAAGTCACAACTTTTCAAATAAACTGATTAGAGTCAACTGAGTTTGCATGTTAACCACTATGAGTAAAAATGTCAGGCTCTAACCCTGACTGCACTGATAACAAGGTATGAAGCTTCCCTTACTTTCCTCCTCCTCCGGTTCCTCTAAAGAAGTGATGGGGTGGCTTGGAACAGGACTCCTCGTCTCCAAAATCTGAGAGTCTGAGTGTGAAGGGCTACTGTGGTTCTCTCTCTCATCTTCCGCTTGATTCCACAAAAATAGGCCAAGAAAAGAGGAAAAAAAAAAAAGAAACAAGAGGTAACTGCATTTATATCTTGCTTTGATACACACAATCTCCACTCTTATGAAGCTTCTCAGGAATAGATAAGCCCTTTGTCTTGGAGTCAGGACCAACTCAAGCACAGGCATTTGCAGAAAACATGTTATTATTTGAAACCATTGAGGAGGCTACACGTTCACAGCTTGTTTGGCAACTACCCAGCGGCTTCAACAAGTGAGTAAACGGAGTAGAAGCACAGAACTAAGCATTGCTCTGCCAGTTATTAAAAGCAAAGAGAGTCTTCACCTCGGTTTTCAATCCCTGAATCAAGCTGGTGGGCACGCTGGTATCCACAGCCTCTACAGGCTAGAGTGAGAAGTGAAACCAAGTAAAATTAATACATACGGTTTTGTCTTTAAGGTGGAGGTGTCAGGTGTTCCCTAGCTGGTAGTATTACCAAAATGGATGACTAGGAAGACTGCCATTTATGAAAAAAATCTGTTCTGAATCACATTGATGTTGGTGTTGGGTGTTCACACAACAGAAATTTCTTTTTTTGGGTTCTATTAAACATATTTAACAACAGTCCTTTCATTTTTTCCATTTTCAATCAACAGTGCTTTTGGAAGCAGCTGGTAAATGACACATTACTCTATTTGACAGTTCCTATTTTTTAGAAGTATTTATACAAACTTGCCAGTTTTTGGCAATCTGACAGGACACTGCTGCTGCAGATGTCAACAGACTGTGATCTGGGACACACAGAGCTTCCAGAGGGGCATTCGGTAGAACCCAAGGTGCCATTTGCTCCTGCTTTGTGCTTGATTTCAAAGCAGGACTGTGACTGTCATTCGTTAGTATGTCAGCTATTTTATCTTGAAAATAAGCAAATGCAACAGGACCAGATGGAAAATACTTCTAATGCCACAAATCAGACTTTACTCAATCACCTTCAAAAGTGCTGTTTAACTTGCATTTCAAGAAGATAAAAACAATGGCACACAAACTACCACAGGATCTGATAGAATGTAAACCTGGAACACATCAGCTCCTGCTGGGTAACTGCCCAAACATAAGCTTTACCCAAGGGTAAATGTAAAGACATCCATTTTCTTTGGCAGGGTAAGCTAAACTGGACTTAGAACTAGCTAAGGGTACGTCTGCTCTGTGGCAGTTGCCTGAGTGCAACTCACTAACAAAAGTTCACCAGCTCACTGGCATTATATTTATGACCTTATGTTGTAATTACCTATCCCCAGCTGCTAAAACTGTAACAACCACCACCCCACTAGCCCAACACCAGCTTTAACTTCAGTATATCTGAAGCTGTGTGTTGGACAACACTTTTCTTTTTTAAATAAAGGCCGCCCGAATACTGGAGCTTCCTACACCATCTTTGCTGCCAGTCCAAACACCAGGTTTCAGAACACCATAAAGTTCTGCAACTGATGTGACAATACTGCAAAAAAACATGCAACCTTTGGGATTCAAGACCTTAACATTGAGACCTGCAGTCTCAAACGTGTATTATTTACACAGGATACTGTAACATGCAAGCAAACCTGCATCCCATGTCTGCTGACTTGGTCCTCTTGCTGCTGTGTCTGGCTTTGCCATTCCAACTGTCCATATCATAGCAGCTAGAAAAAAGAGAGCAAGAAATCAGACACAAAACATCGGTCACTGTAGCTCAGAGTTCCTAAGTATTTAGCTATCCCTACAAATATAAACCCTTCCCCTGTTAATGCTACAACACTGATTCTCAGTCCGTTTCCCTAGTCACTTAGAAGGCAAGGTCAGACAAAAAGGCTGTGCACCTATTCAGTCTTTAAGAAAAGTCTCAGAGCACAAGTCAGTATAGTTTTGTCTGTATCCTGAAGACAGCAAAAATCCCAAATAAGGGTCCTCATCATCTTGTTTTTTTCCTGGTTTCTGGCTCTTCTATTCAAAGGGAACAGTTGCCCAGGAAATGATGGTAGTACAAAACGTAACCAGAGATTAAGGCAGATGGCATACTCCCCCTCTTCTGCTGAAGGTAAAAAACACAAGTGAGAGATTCATTGGAGTTGTCTGAGTGTCTGTTTTCTCCCTGCACTTCTGTTTGTGTTTTTTTTTTTTTTCCCCCTCTTTCTTTTTACTCTTTTTCTCCTGTCAAAATATTGGCTATTTTTGTTTTGGTTCCAAGAACAACTGAAGGATGTTTGCAGGTTTATTCTTGAGATGAATCCCTAATTTACGAAGGGATACAAACCATGCTGAGATACAAACCATGCTGAAGGGGACTCAAATTAGCTTTTTATATAAGAGTACCTCAGTCTCCCTGTTTTTACAGAAGCTAAACTAAACAACAACAAGCCAAGGCAAACACAGTGTCTACTATTCCATTACACACTCAGTCACGGTGATGTTTTTGCATCTAGAGGTAGCCACAGAATGCGGTCTTGCAATGGAAACACTGACGTTCTGCCTAAGAACTTTTTGTTCAGTATTTATTATTTGTTGAATTGCATTCTCCTTTAGTGAAACTGTTGTTTGTTTGTTAAATAAAACATGGGGAAAACTTCATCTAGATTGTTTCAGGCCGGTATAACAGCATGTCCACGTGGAATGGAAGTCAGCTGAAGTCAACAGAAGCTCTACTTGGAACATACAGAAGCATTTATATAACACTAAACACTTGAAAAACTAGATCAGTCAAGTTGTAGGCATCCTCAGCTTGGCACCCAACGTTTGGAAATACTGATTCACCTTACAAGTGATGCAATGGAAGCCACTGAGGTCCAGGAAGCACTTGAGCCCAGGTCCTGGAAACGTTAAGTCACCTGCCTTCCAACTATCCCAGTCTTAAGCATACGAATGCCTTTGTGGATACAGGCACAGGATGTCATCATAGTTAAACAGTCCAGGAAATCCAGGGAAGAGAGGACTGATTTTGTTGTCAGAGCAATACTTGAACAGAGCCACTTGCCAGGAGCAGCCAGACAATGAAAAATAAAGCAAATATCTCACACTGCCATCCATACAATGCACAGAGCAAGAGGAGGCTACAGGAAGAGCAGAGCCTCAAACACTTGAAGTGAGCCTATAAAGCTTATGCAGAAAGAAGATGGGTACTGAGAGGGCATCATCTAGCTACAAAACTTTACAAACACTGCTGTCTACACAAGGCTTATTATGCAGAACAAAGATTTACGTTCGGCTATTCATGGAAAGGTAAATCTACTTTTGAACATTTTAGTTTCACAAGGCAAATCTGCCCACCCCTGTGGCTAATTAGAGTTAATACCATTGTAACTGATAAGGTCTTCTACAAATGGTCTGTTCCAGGACATAAATATGCACCAATCTGAGGGCAAGGAAATAACTAAAATAGCGCTTACTGGTTTGACACAGAAAAAGGTTTCAAGCACATTGTCGTTAAAAACATTCGTATTTTAATCTTACTCACAGGAATATATCAATGCAGGAAAAATGGGCTCATTTCTCTCCTGTGCAGTTTCTACCAGCATTCTCAGTGGCCCCTTAGGGCAGAGAACAGCCATCAGATCTGCAGAGAGAAAAGGAACAGACAATCTTACCTTAAACTGTCATGCATATTTTGCATTCCTGCTCTTTGAAAAGCTATTCCTCCCTCAAAATGACATCTATCGATATTAACCAGATGATTTCCTGAATGGTGACTTCTGCTGCTGTGCAACTGTAGCTGCTAGTCTCTGAAGATGATGCTCATTTAAAATACCATCCCCCAAGGCTTAATGTGACAGTAACAGTTTTCATTGTATTAGTCCTACAAAAGTCCTAAATTTCTTGAGAGCAACACATCATTCATTTGAAACTAGATGACAGGATTACATTAAATTGTTAAATTTAATTAACAGAGAACTGGAGGTACTTTGATTATGTTCCTCAATCCTTTACTATGTATGCTGACTATTTTTCAACCTTTGGTCAAGTTCCTCTTTGCATACTCTCTCTCCTTGTCAGAGCTCACCAAGCTGAATATTACCTTCCAGATACATCATCCTGCAAGTTCTCTTCAAACTTTTAACTGAGATTTTTTTTTTAAAACTATTTTAACTCCAAATAACCTCTCCACAAGCCACGCCTTCAGAGTCACAGCCCAGACTTACCATAGATGGAGATTGCACCTAGAATCACCCATGCCGACCACTCAGGTAGATACTTAATGAAAACCAGTGCCATCAGAGCACTGATCATAATGAGATATGCTTGCTGGAGCTGCAGGGGGCCTTTCCAGTGGATGCAAATCATCCCAACAGCTCCAAAATTCCAGATGACTAGAATGACTGTGGGGTAATCCATGGCCACATTGTATGTCTTCAGTACTTCACTGGAAGACAACAGTGAAATTTAGCTGAGCAATAAAAGCAACCGACATGCAAAGCACCTTGCTAGATCTACTCAAACAAGCAAGCCTCCTGTGACACCAGGAGGAAGCAGGATATAAGCAGATGTCATCTCAAGAGGGGAACCAGCCTGGCAGCCAGTTGTTGCTCTTAGTTCTGTGTTTCCTCTGCAGGACATGGGTGTGCTGTGTGTGGCAAACACTACACTGCCTTAGTCCTGAGGTCAACAGTGATTCCAAGGATCTGAGCAGGCCAGATTTCAAGACAAGATTTAACATAGGCTCACGACTATGCAGCAGTCTTTACCTAAGAAATCATGTGCAAGTTATCCCACCAGAAGCATGACGGGATGCATTTCAATATTAAATAAGAAAAATATAAGCAAGTGTCATTGGAAAGTTGAAAGGTTGCTTCTTTCTCAACTTGGAGCTAAGGGAATGAGTTTGAAGAGACGCAGTCTGAGGATAAGGCAAGACAATCCAGAGAATTAACTCAACACTAAGTTCCTTTCCACTTGGTTCTCAGAGGCTAAAGACACACCGAAGGCATGTTTTGGGAACCTCCATCTAGCCAAACTGTCTCTGTGACATCTCTAGAAACAATTGATGACAGATATCCCAGGATGTTGGCAGTTTATACCAGTATCTCCTGAAAGTCACTATCAATGTACCTCTGTACAACAAAGTTCAGCCAGCTCAGTTCATGTTTGTGGTATCACTTCTATTTTTGTAGAGTAACTACTGTAAAATCAGGCGTTGCCCATTAAATACCTCATTTTTCATCAAAAAAAAAAAAAAAAAGAAAAAAAGAAAAAAAGCTAATGCTAACACTTTTTATTTTAAAATCTCTGTTCGTAGAAGAAGGAGAGACATTCCATTCATTAAGTTGGGGATTTTCTTCAAACAGAAAAAGAGGGTAGTTTTGAACCACTAAGTTACTTGCAATATTTCTACTTACCCGAGATATATGTAGGTGAAGAGGAACAGCAACATCAAAGAGGACAGGATTAGCCAGCCATGGATGAACTATTAAGGGCAAGAAAAGAGAGTGATTGAAGGGGCTGTTCCCCCTGCACAGGCTGCAGTGCTGCATGCACTAATGACAGACCTTCCTATTGTCCAACAGCCTTTCCTTCTTCACTTCTCCTCCGGTTTCCAAAGACCCTCCTTCCCCACAGCTGATGAGGGAAGAGGGACAGCCAGTTGCTCACAGTTCTCCCAAACTCATTCTATATTCTGTCCTTCTCTTCCACCAGAGCCTCCACAGGCAAGAATGAGACTAGTTCCCACACAGTTTGTCCAAAACTTCAGAAGGCATTCGCCTTAAATGGCACAACTGAGTCCTTGAGTACAAGCTGCAAAACTTTTTGACCATAAGAAGAGGACTCAAACCTGACTAGCACAAATAACAGGCTGTTTCTAACATCCTATCATTAGTGGCAAATGAACAGCAAAGCACGTTCTGAGGCACACTCTAACACTGCTAGCAAAGGCTTCTCTACAACAAAATTGCTGCCACGACTAAATTGTGGACTAACCTGTGCAGTGCCTGTATTTCTCCCTGACAGACAAGCCTCACTCGAACCTGCTCACAGCAAGCACGCAGCAAACACTCGGGCACGAACGCTTTACCTTGTAGCAGCGGTACTTATACAGAACAACGAGGAACACGGTCATTACAACAATGACGCTGATCATGATGATGGTGTTCAACACCGAGTTCAAGAGACGCTGGCCCACAGACGGGGTGTCCTCGCTGAAGGGAGTGTAGATCCTGCAGTATAAAGCAAAGCCACATCAAGCACGTATATTCTCATTTAACTAGTCACCCCAAGATAAAAACGGATTGGTGCAGGGGGGAAAGAAAGGGAGGAATGAGTTCCAAGGACGGTAAACATCAGGTGTATCCTCTGGAGGGGCTGGGATCCAGTTAGTTATCAGCTACAGGTTAGTGCTGTTTAACCAAAGCACACTGCCACAGAGCAGCTGCGTCTGGCAGAGCTCTAAACAGAAACAGAGCATAAATGGGAAAATAGTGAGAGGACATGGGGGAAAGGTTTTAAACTAATAGAGAGCAGAGAGATTTAGATTAGATGTTAGGAGGAGATTCCTCACTCAGAGGGTGGTGAGGCACTGGCACAAGTTGCCCAGGGAAGCTGTGGATGCCCCATCCCCGGAAGACTTCAAGGCAAGATTGGGTGAAGCTTTGGGCAGCCTGATCTAGTGGAAGGTATCTCTGCTCATGGCAGGGGGGTCAGAACTAGATGATGTTTAAGGTCCCTTTCAACCCAAGCCCTTTTATGATGCTATGATAAATAAGTTTAGCAACTTCTCTTGAGGCCACTAATTTTTATTGTATATCTCTGTACCCTCTCCATGATAACAAGGACGCATCCCAGGTGCTGTCCAGCAAGGGGGGACCCTTTCTTTCTACAATTTTTAAGAGTGTCTTGGGCTTTTTTACCCCTTCTTATCATGCCACCACCCCCTCCATTTTCTTTTCTTTGGTTCCATTCCTCCAGCCACCACGTGAAGTGCTGTTGGAACACTGGGAATGGTCTCGAGCAGGCAGGAAGAGCTGGATGGAATTATGTATCCACACCATGAGTCTTTGGGAACCAAAAATGTCATCAGGAAATGAGACACTCATCCAAATGAACATGTTATTCCCTGATTGCTTCCAGCCAGCGAGTGAACAGACCAGGAGGTAAACCCGGGCCTTTTATACTACAGCATGAAGTGATTTCATTCCTAATGATAGTGTTAATGAATCAGTACAATACAGGTACTGAAAAAATTTACTAAAATAAGCTGTGTTCATCTGTGTAAGACCTTGGTATGCTTACAGAGCCATCTTTAGCCATGTAAAGGCTCTCCCAGCCTGCCAAGGAGGCACGCTGTGTACATAGGTGTATGTGCACAGAGTATATGTGTAATGCCAGGGATCCCACGTACTCAGAGGCTGTTTTGAAGACCCCACTTACAGCTGCCCGTTTTTCTCCGTATAGAAGCGCACTGACTTTATGGTGGCGACGACAACAATCATACAAAGGGTGACAGGCACAAAGAGCATGATTACATGCTTCGCTCCATATTTCAGCGTCAGTTCCTCTTCTTCGTTTTCCAAGGCGCTCCCTCGCGCTCGAACACCCGAGTCAGCCATATCCCCATCAGCAACATTGTTAGGGCTGCGGCTGCTGCCTGCGTGCCTCTTCTGAAAAGAAAAGTTATCACATATATAAGATCCTTTCCTTGCATTCAGAGCTTCATTCCACTATTTCATGAGGCTGCTGAGGCTACCACAGCATAGCAACTTGTTCCTAGTAGGATGGTGCCAACTGAGCAATGCAATTAGAAATTCCCTTACAAATAGGCTGCAGCAGTTTTTAAACCAAACCCACAAATATCTAAGGGCCTCTTCAGTGCATACAGAGAGAGGCTGACACATGCATATGAAGGGTGAGGTGCACAGAACTGGGAGGGAACAAAAAAACTGTGTTCAGTTTTGGGCCCCTCGCTACAAGAAGGACATCGAGGTGCTTGAGCGGGTCCAGAGAAGGGCGACGAAGCTGGTGAGGGGCCTGGAGAACCTACGAGGAGCGGCTGAGGGAGCTGGGCTTGTTCAGCCTGGAGAAAAGCAGGCTCAGGGGCGACCTTATTGCTCGCTACAGATACCTCAAAGGAGGCTGTAGCGAGGTGGGGGTTGGCCTGTTCTCCCACGTGCCTGGTGACAGGACGAGGGGGAATGGGCTTAAGTTGCGCCAGGGGAGTTTTAGGTTGGATGTTAGGAAGAACTTCTTTACTGAAAGGGTTGTTAGGCATTGGAACAGGCTGCCCAGGGAAGTGGTGGAGTCACCATCCCTGGAAGTCTTTAAAAGACGTTTAGATGTAGAGCTTAGGGATATGGTTTAGTGGGGACTTAGCGTTAGGTCAGAGGTTGGACTCAATGATCTTAAGGTCTCTTCCAACCTAGAAATTCTGTGATTCTGTGAAATTTCATTGGAAGTGGCATAAACCTAACCAGATCCCACTCCCAGAGCACTGCGGTGCTTGTTTTACCACAGTGCTTCACTGACAGTAGGACTAGATTCCGTCCCAACATTTGCTGCATTTGACCTGAGCAGACAAAGGGTTTCTGGCAAAGCGAGAAGGCTAAAAAGGATATCCTGCACGAGTTGTATGTGCATCAGGTCCTGATTAAAAGCTTGTATCTTTACCAAAAGGAAGGAAAGGGGAGGAGTATATACGGAGATAAAAAGGGAGGAAAAAGTCACAGTGAAGGAAATGGGAACAGGCAGTGCAGCTGCTGGCCAAGAGAAGTAACACTGGCCAAAGCCAATCCTAAAAGCCTGCCTGCTGGGATGGATTGAGGGGTAACAGGACTACCTTTATCATCATACCCCATTTCTTCAGTGCCCGGAGAGGATGCATACTCACCCTATGTATCTGCGCTTCCCCTGCTTCTGAGGCTTGCAAGCCATCTTGGTAGGAAGGTATTGGAGGGCTCTCTGCAGACATCAGGGATGTTCTCTCGTTACAGGTCTCATCCTCACTGTCTGAGTTGTTCATGAACGTGATCATCGTCACTTTCCTGGGGAGCACTCACTCCGGAGAGGCACAGCCAGGAGCTACTCACGGCTGAGAAAACAAGCAAAGCCAAAGAAAAGAGAAAGAGTGAGTACTGTAGCGCAAACAACCGGGAGTCTGAAGAGGAAGCACAATCTCAGCAGGCTTCATAACTCTATCTCCTTCTGATAGCTGATTTAGCCTGCTGTCACATCAGACACAACAATCTTCAGTTAAAGTATCCTGCAGCCAGGGGGAACAGCAAAATGCAGTGCTGAACCAACTGCACCTAATCCACCGAGTATTTTTTCCCCTCTGCCACAGTTCCTGCCTCTGTGCTTGGCCTCTTCCATGAGCAGTACACCCGGACTTTCACAGAGGAGGTTTCCCAGTGCTTGGTGTTTGTTTTGTATGAGCCAAACAAGGCTTCACCTCGAATGCTGCCTGGCTGCCAGATAGCTAGGAGAGCTCAGCTCTTACGCAACACTCCTACAGGCATCAGCAGGTAGCAGAAGTTTCTTAGTAACCTGGAGCCTCGGCTTTACATAAGCCACTGAGCAGGAGTTACACACTGCCTTCCGTACTATGGCTGCTGATCACCTAGATGAATTTCATAAGCAGTTCTTCCCTCTGCCCAAGGGCTGTGGGTAAATAAAGGGGAAGAACTTGGCCCTTTAGGTGAGCCGCTACTTCTTCCTCTTATACTGACTTGTGCTTAAAAGCAAACCCACTTGGATGGGCAACAACTTCAAGTATAGAAGTGGAGACTTGACATTTTTGGCCTCTTTCCACCTACCGCTGTGCAGAGAAGTGAAGAAAGCAGTGGCACAACGCAGAAAGGAAAGGAACAGCTCTTCCTTGTAGACACTGGAGACAGGACCTGCACTGTCCTGGCTAAAGCTAGTGCAGAACAGCCCTGAAGCCATGATTTCAGGTAGCTCTAAATGGGATTGATAGGAAAATTCCTTTTATCTTTTATTAAGGCAGCTTAAGAAAGCAACTGGAGTAAAGAAGGATAATTCAGGCACCTGATTCTCAGCCACCTACCCATAAGCAAAACCAGACCCCTAATGCATTGTAAAGCTGTAACACCTACGAGAACAACTCTCCTCTGCTGGATTTTACCCACGTATTCCCCCCCCAAAACAAACAAAATAGCTCCCCACACGAGTGTATCTCAGGCAACATAACCAACTCAGGGGAGGAAGCTGAAGCAGCCACATGACTTGGACACAGCCACATACATCTGAATTAAGCATTCATGGTCTGACCAGTGGACTTCTCTGTCTACCAGCCAGCTTGAGAGGCTGGAGTAGACGCTTCAAAGCTCTGTGAGATTCTTGCTTCTCACTAGAGGGACTGAAATTCACTTCAAGAGAAGGAAAGAGGGAGGAGTGGGAGATTCCCCCATCTTTCACAGCATCCTGAATACACTGGTCACCTTCAAAACATTTCAGAAAGCAAACTCAATCTGCCCAAGTGAAACACTTTTCAGACATCTGCTCCTTTCATGCCTTCTCTTCAAGCCTTTTCCTCTAATTCAATTCCTCTTTCAGTGATAAAAATAGTACATTTATAGGAACAAATGCAGGGGCAACCCTCAAGCCAGGCCTATCAGCTTCACAGTAGCTGTGTTGCAGTGAGCTGCCTAACACTTCCCTTTTTGTTTTTTTTTTTTTTTTTCTCCTTACAGAGCCCAAAGTCTCCACTCCCCAGTTGCTCAACACATTCTGAGCACGTGGGGCTCACAGTTTACAGCTGAGAGCCTAGATTCTAGTTCAGTTGTAAGAGTAAAGTTTACTCTTTCAGCGTTTGGGACTAATGTTTAGGTTTTAACAACCGCATAAAAACAAAGACCTTTTTCTCCCAGTATTTCAGCAAAAATTGTGTTGCAGCTTCTATGTGAGCACAGCGATATTGCAGAGGTTTCAGAAGGCACAGCCAATTAGCCTACTTTCACCATCCTAGTTGTACCCACTGGAAGAATTATACAGGTAGCAAAAACACACCAGTAACTTCTAACCCTCATAATTACATGGGAAGAGTCTCCTGTTGTAATATCGCCAGATATTTTCTGTTATTCCCTCTCAAAAAGGATAAAAGCAAAGATGCTACAATGCTTTTCATCTCCAAAGTTGTATTCACAGGTACCTGAAAGTGACCTAAATCTGTGCTACTGCCAATGGGGTTGTCCCACCACCCTGTCTCTTGTGCCAGCACCAGGTGCTCATCAGCAACCCAGTTCTTTTGAAGAGACAACAGGTGCTTGCTTGCCATAGCTTTCGCTGAGCCAGGTTTCAGTATGACAGGCTCCCAGGCTGGCTGCCCAAGCAGCCCCAGACCCAGTGCCCAGAGGAGGAAAGAGGAGCACAGGGCCAAGCAGGGCTCTTTGGTGAACGGCTTACAGAGGCAGGAGCCCTATGCCCTACCACCAACCCCAGTGCAGTTTGTCTAACACCACCATTTACCCCTCTGAGTTGCACTAACTGGCACCAAGGCTGTGCTGGCCGCCAGACAGAGCTCTGGTTTACACCGTCACTGATTTCAGGGAGGAAGGACCAGGCTGGTCACTCACAGCCACACAGTCAGCACAACCTTCTTTCCTGGATATGGTCATTTTTCTGCATGACAGCAAATAGATCAGTGCATGCAGACCATGTGTTTCCCTAGACTGAGCTGAAGAGGGGAAAGGACAGATTAGGAAAGCAAAGCAGAGAGCTGAGACAAACACAATTGCCTTCTGGCTATAACACAAGAGGAGCTTTCAGAGGGATGAAATGCAAGTTGAATTTATATTCACATGACAGAGCATGGTCTACTAAATAAAGCCAATGAAGGACAGAAACACTGGGTGCCAGATAGTCTTCAAATTGACCCAGTAAGCCACAGGACATCAGACAAGGTTCTCCTCTGTGGATAGATACAAACTATTAAAACATCTTGTGATTTTTTTAATGTGTTTAAGAACCAAAAGACCAAACTCTCAAAACCACATAGCAGAAATGAAAGGGGACAAAAACTAGGTCAGTAGTTAAGCACTGCTTATAATGGAGCAGCTGAGGTGAGACTACAGCAAACCCTATGTTATAGCAGCCTTGTGAAGCCTACAGGGAAGCAGGAGTTACCATTTCTCTCTTTCCGAATGTCTTTTGTGCAAGGGATCTCTCTCAACTGGGATAAATCCACTCTATCAATTACACTGAAACGGGGCCAATTCAAACTAATATGAGGATCTAGCCCTGGCTTGCTTTTTAATTTCATGCTATAGCATCGCTGTGCTGCAACAAAACCAAGTCATTTGCTATGTTTTTCATCCTTGATAAATATTACCAGTGTAGGGTATAGCACAGAACAGCTGCTGCTGGCTGGCATAATATTTAATAATCCACTTGAGATTTTAAACTCCTCCATATATATTGTTCTCTTTGATAGCAATCAGATGAAGAGAAGCAGTTTTCCTTTGCTACAGTTAGACAAGGAGAAAGCTTTGGGCTGACACCGATGGCCTGATGTTCTAAGTTTCACCTGTAATCACAGCTGCTGGTTAACATACAGGGGAGGAAAACATTTTCAGCAATTCCAAGTGGTAGGATAACAATTAGGAGGAAAAATTTCCAGATTGGTGCCAACAAATAAAGCCAAAACATACACACTAGCATTACTTTCCCACAGAGAGGCACGTCACGCAGCCACGGCGTTACTCTGCTGACAGAGCTGAAACCGGACCCTTCCCCAAGAAGGTCAGAAGAATTATTTCGCCAGCCCTAGGCCCAAACCCGTAGCAGTCAATATGAGTGGATACAGACCTACACACACCAGGGACACCTCAAAGCCTGGGTCCAACCTCGCACGGAGGAGCAGCTCCCAGTTCTGGTCCTGCTGGCGGTGCCCCACGAACACACCGGGGACACCCAGGGACACACCGGGATGTCCTCCTGAACCCTGTCCAAGGGCTCAGGGCACCAGGGGCAGTTAATATGGCCCTACCACAAGCTGCCCCAAGGAGACACCGAGGAGCACCACAGCTCGGCTGGCCTGCAACATGGGGCCAGCTTTGTTGTCCACCTAAATACACGGCCAGCCACCTCTGCGCACTCAGAAAGAGACACAACAGACGCTTTATCACTCCGGGAACAACAAATACAGACCATTTTCCATTTCATATACGCATATATACACATAACCACACACATATCCTTCCTAGGATGACCCAGCACAGCTGCCGGTCCCACACCCCCCACAGCGGTGCCGCCGAGCCACCCCCAGCCCAGCCCGCCTCAGCTCGCCTCAAGCCCCCGACCCCACAGCCCCGATGCCCACCTGCGCTCGGCCCGGCCCGGCTCGGCTCCCTTCTGCCCGGCTCGGCCCTGCTCGGCCCTGCCCTTCCCTCCATTGGCCCCGCAGCCTTCCGTCCCCACCCCCGGCCGAAGGAAGGGTGGCGCCCGCCATCCCCATTTACCACAGCAGCCGCCACTCGGCCGCTGCCTCCGCCCCTCCGCTGCCTTCGTGCAGGAGGCGAGGGGAGGCGCCGTCCCTTGCCCCAGTGATGTTAGCTGAGCCCGGGGTGTTTTTGAGGCATTTAAATGTGTATACCCGGCCTTCGATAATGGGAGAGCGATGTGAGGGTGTGGGTTGTTACCGAAATAAAAAGGCAATAGGGAGCGCGGCAGAGAGACTGGGGGAAATGGCCAAGTCTTGGAGTTCAGTCTGACCTTCGCTTGCCTCATGGATCGGGGGTGAATAAAGGAAAACTACAAGCTATTTCACATTACTTGCAATCGTTATGAGAAGTTTAGACCTCTATTTGATTAAAATTCAAGTCTAGTATAGCAGCACGGTAATCATGTAAACAAACTTCCTCAAACATCACAAAAATCGCTCCCGTCCCTCTGTTGTTGCCTATTAGGTTATCAAGCAACAGTAACACGAAATTCAGGTTCAGGCAGCTCTCACCTGCTTATCATTTTTGGGGGCAGAGGCATAAAAAGCAGCAGTCACTTATTTCCCTGTAGAAAGTCATTTATTTCCCTGTAGCAGTCATTTATTTCCCTGCTGCTTTCGCTTAGGAAAAGCACCGAGTGCAGACACTCAGTATTTTAGGCAGAGCTCCAGCTTCACCTGGTGCTATCCCTGATACCTTACACACAAAGGAAGGAAGGGCAGGGTGGTGTTAAAGGAGATGCAAGGTGTGACAAGTGAACCATTCCTATGGTATATATGTACACCATACTGTGGAATATATGATATACCGCACTGTATATGGTGTATATGCATGGTATATTGCACTGTGATATACCACACTGTATATCATTGGACAAATTGGAAAACCCTGCAGATTCCAATTCTAATTTGGCTGTCGTATTCTTTTTCCCAATTTTACTGCATAAGACTGCTGTTGACCAGTACTGCTGTCTTATACCTGTAATCCTGGTTCTCCACTTTGCACACAGAGACAAGTTCTTTTCCAAGATAAAACTAGTTTAGGAAAACTGATAAACTGCATATTTGGCTGTATACCTCACTAGCAGAGAATCGGAACTTGTTGCTAGGCCCATTAAAGTCACTGGAGCTACATGTAGGTTTCATCCATATGGAGTACCTTGCTGAATTAGGAGTAAATGTGTTTTCGTACAGGTGAATCTTCTTCATTTTTCACTAAGGATCATGAGTGTCTCCCTCACTGTTTCCTCACTCAGCACACTCCATTTCTGTCATGTAACAGACAGCCATCTTTGGTAGTTTACGCTTTTCATAGAATCATTAAGGTTGGAAAAGACCTCCAGTTTCATCTGGTCCAACCACCTCCCTACCACCAGTGTCACCCAATAAACCATGTCCCTAAGTGCCACATCCAGCCTTTCCTTAAACACCTGCAGGGACAGTGACCACCACTTCCTTGGGCAACCTGTTCCAACGCCTGACTGCTCTTTCTAAGCAGAAATGTCTCCTCATTTCCAACATGAACCTTGTCTGGTGCAACTTGAGGCCATCCCCTCTAGTCCTATCAGTAGTTACCTGTGAGAAGAGGCCGACCCCCAGCTCCCCACACTTTCAGGTAGTTGTAGAGGGCAGCTTTTTCTTGCCCACCTTTCCCCTTCCCTTATTACATTGGCATTCCAAATTCTAGGTTCATTCCCCTCCCCTTCCTCCAGCCAGCTGCAGTCAGCGGTCTGTCTGGTCCTTAGGCCTTGCAAGGAATTTGCCTGTAAGGCCGTGTGACCCGTAATTCTGATGCAGATTTTCCTCTTCTCCAAAATCATGACATTTTAGATAGTCACACTGAGTAGTTTTCATTTGCTTTATTAATCTGGTGGGAGATTTTTATCAGTAGCATCCTGTTCTCATATTTTTTCCCTCAAATATCATGGAGAGAAAAGGTTTTTTTGTTTGTTTGTTTGTTTTCCACTTCCTTTTTCAAAAGAGAGCTGAGGCTTCAAAGCCACCCCAAGTCCCTCACATCAAGGCATGTGGATGGTCACTTGAGTTGGGCAGCCTCTCAGAAAGTAACCTATCTGATTCAATAGCAGGCCGCAGATACCCAAATCAGCATGGCCATGTGGATTTCAGAGGCTTTACATGCCACCTGCATTTTGACTAAAAGCCACGCTGATAATCAGGCTGCAAACAACAGAGGCAAACCTTTTAACCTACCTTTCAGCAAGGTCTTGTCCTGCTCTCACTACCAACTTTCCCTTCCCAGCTGCTGGGCAGGCTTTGTTTCCTAGGGACTGCGGGTATGGGACCAGCTAGCAGCTTTTGGAAGTTAAACTCACAGCTTTTTTTTCTCTGTTAGAAATACTACTTTCAAGTATGAAGGGCTCTGAGAGAGAAGACTATGTGACTTACACAACTAATCAGATCTTTGGCCTGGAGACATAGGTCTGCAACTTAAATAGATATTCTGCAACTTAACAAGGGGTTTTCAGAAGCAGTATGTGTATTGCAACATTCAAGAAAGCACGTGGCACTTGAGGCCGTGGGTATATGAAACCCAGCTGTCTTGCTGTGAATGCATATTCTGCCTGCCTCCTTTGGTAGTTTTCAGAGACAAAAAAAATGGCTTAACTTAGTGTTCCTTTTCTGTATAAGTGGATAATAGGAAGACAAAGAGGTATTTCAGTCCATCCATCCTTGAGAGTTACTACCATACAGCTTTCAGTCAGCTTTTCAGTCATGTTTTTCTTTTTTTTTTCCCTAGCTGCATCACATGAAAAGCATCTGACCCAAGAGCAAGTTAACAGACTCTTTGAGCAAACCCCCACACTGTATTTATATTGTCGTCAAAATATTTCTGTTTTTTCTCTCTTCTTTAAACAGATTTGTGAAGCCATTTCCTTGAAGGATCTCTCACAGATAATGTAAAGCATGCCAGTTCCCAAAAAGATTGTGTGACAAGCTGCATCACAACTCTATGATTTGGGGGATCACAGTCTCGCCAGAAGCAGTTGTTGCCATACTTCTGGTTGTTCTGAAGCACCTAAGGACTGTCCTGGTTTTGACTATAGGATAGAGTTAATTTTCCTCCTAGGAGCTGGTATGGTGCTGTGTTTTGGATTTAGGATGAGAATAATGTTGATAACACCCTGATGTTTTAATTGTTGCAGAGCAGTGCTTACACTAAGCCAAGGACTTTTCGGCTTCTCACACTGTCCTGCCAGAGAGGAGGCTCGGGGCACACAAGTTGCTGAGAGGGGACAGATCCAGGACAGCTGACCCAGACTGGCCAAAGGTACATTCCATTCCATATGGTGTCATGCTTTTATTATTATTATTATTTTCTTTCTTTTCTGTCCTAACAAACTGTCTTTATCTCAGCCCACAAGCTTTTACTTTTTTTCTGATTCTCTCCCCCATCCCACTGCACAGGGAGGGTGAGCAAACAGCTGTGTGGTGCTTAGCTGCCAGCTGGGTTAAACCACAAGTAGGACATGCTGTGGAATTGCCCTACTTTGTTCAATTTTTGTACTTACAGCTTTACAGTAGGAGGTCCTGGGGAGCTTTTGGTCATAAACTGTTACAACCATCCAAATATATGCAAGGAATTGTGACTGTTTTATTTCAGGAGGTACAAAAGCTGCAAATAGAACTACTGATAAAAATTCAAACACAGAAATGTTCCTTTGGCTTTCAAATGGAAACAGATACAACACCATCTCTAATAAATAAATAAATAACCTCTTATGCTTATCCAGAAGATATGAGTAGGGCCAGGCCTAGTGTATCTGAGGTTTTATACTAGAATAGACAGTACTTTGAAAGAGTCTTGCTTGGTCTACTCCACTCAGTAAATCTCTAGTCCCTCAAGGAAAGTTCATTATTGAATAACAAAGTAAACCTCTTCCTCACAACTTAAGGAGATCTACTCATTTGTTAAATTATTTAGCATGCAGTCAGGGCTCATGATGGAGTGCCAGCTATGGAATGGTTTCATTTAAATTGTAAGAAGATACTAACCAGTGGGCAGTTGACACTGTTATGAGTGTTCATGCTGAACATGTCTCCCATGGTGTTACACAGACCTAAGTCTCATGGTCCATTGATTCCAGCATTTGTAGCATCATAGAAACCGTGTAGGTGGCTGCTTTCTAATGTATGTAGAAATGAGTTAAACACGAGATCGGAATCAAACAGACAAGGCCAAGGTATTGGCAGCAGAAGGGGAATTAAATCTGATGAGGTCTGCGGTCAGAAAGCAAACAGTGATACATCCAGATCAATGTAGTATCAGCAACGTCTTGCTCATTCAAACAGCTTGTCCTGTCTCCTCATATGTGTGTTTTGTACAGTTCTGCTAAATAAATAAAGTAAAATAAATCAAGTACCTTCTTAGGAGGCAAATGCATTAACCTGCAATGGAGTATTATGCCTTTAAAGCTATTGGTATCTCTTTTGCTTTCCAGATTTCAGGACAAATCCTTCAGGCAATACCAGACTCCAAGAAGTCAGCAGATCTGTTTGCATGACTAAAAATCCTTTGAGTTAGCGCTGCTCTGAAGTCGATGATAAATCAATAGTGACTTTGGCTGAAATTAGGTCACTCCTAGAGAAAAGGAAAACACGTGCCTAACATCTTTTAGGAATGCAGATGGCAGACAAAGCAAGGTGTTCCCCATAACAGTGCAGATGAACCTGTACCATTTATTTGGGCCTTCTGCTCGTGTAGCCACCATGGGGAGGATGCGGGTGAGATGTGTAAGTTATACATTAACGTTGAAATAAGTGTTTCCACGTTGTATTTCAAGGAGGCAGACTGCTCCATATCCTATAACAGAAAGTCTCACTGTATACACTAGGGGGCAGAGGCCTTCTGTGCACGGACATCTCTGCAGTTGGATTAGCTGTTTGACACGAGCACAATTCCAGTCTGAACTCTGTTACACATTGTGATAATCCTTGGAGATTTTATTGTCATCAGATTCCTGCGAAATACATTAGGTGCACCTATAGCCCTCTGTGGAGAACTAATCTGTGAAA